TCTAGCACTGCATGGTCCCGGGATGCACACCCTTCCCATGAGAACTTCCTCTCTTTACAAAAGGAAGTAAAAGAATTTCCCAGTAGAAGGGGTCAGAAGCTTACCGGGGATCTAACTCCTTGGCCACACGCTTGGCCTTGTTCCACTCCTCACCCTCAATGAAAGCATCGATCGCTTCCTTGACTAAGTCCAAGTTCAGATAGAGCTCTGCAGCCTGCACAGTGGGGAAAATGAAGCTCAGAGACCAGCTTTCTCCTCTGTTTCTGCAGAACTGCATGGGACACTGCCAGGAGCCCACCTCACACACCCTCCTGGGTGTAGCTGGTACTGTTCCACCCCTCTCTGTGGAATCTACTTCTTCAGTCCCAGCATTCTACTTACTGCACTGTACTTTCTGATTCCAGTCAGCTGGGGTCCCACAGCCCGAACTACTTCCAGACTGCGCTGAGGAGGCAGAAACTTGATGGCGAGTTCAGCTGCCTGAGCGGTTGAACGGAAGATGACAATGGGTAGGAGAGACAAATACTGCTGGGCGCCCTCAGCCTGATCTGTTTTTACCTTCCAGTTGTCGAAGGTCTCTCTAGCACTCGCCTTCACCTTCTACCCTCCTGGGCAAAGCCTGTCTCACGGTCCATCAGAGCCTTTAAATGACCATCAGTGGACCTATTTGTTCCTCTCAGCTCCTGCTCTGTCACATACTCCCTTTGATGTCTGAGGTCACTGCATTTGGTCCTGCCATGTCTGACAAACTGGTTTCTCGAGTTTTGTCACAAACAGAATCTTGGTGGTGCAGGTATAACGAAAGAAGGAATTCTGCAACTGTTTGTGCTGGGCTTTTCTAAGACTCCGTTTCTTCACCCATAAGAGTGATGGTTGGTCCAGATTGGTATTGTCCAGAACAGAAGCCACTAGTCACATGTGGCTAGTCCCAACTTAGATGTGCTGTCAGCTTAAATACACACTGGGTTTCAAAGACTTAGTATGAAAGAAGGAATGTAAAATATCTCAATAAATTGAGATAAATAAATATCAATAATATAAGCAATCAATAAAATATTGAGTTGAAATGAGTTTAATGTTGAAATGAGTTTAGATATATTTGGTTAGGTAAAATATAATTATTTTCTTGTATTTCTTTTTACTTGAGTATGGCTACTAGGAAATTTTTTTTTTTTTAAACTTTATTCACTTTTGAGAGACAGAGTGAGCATGAGCGGGGGAGGGGCAGAGAGAGAGGGGGACACAGAATCCAAAGCAGGCTACAGGCTCTGAGCATTTGGAACAGAGCCTGACGCAGGGCTTGAACCCACAAACCATGAGATCATGACCTGGGCCGAAGTCAGATGCTCAACCGACTGAGCCACCCAGGCGCCCCGGCTACTAGGAAATTTTAAATTTACATGTGTGATTTACCTTTGTGACTTGCATTTTATTTCTATTGGACAGTGATGCTCTAGATGATTGTGGAGACACCTTCCAACCCTAAAACTCAGTAATTCTACAAATCCGAGCGTTCTATACGTTTACTCTATTTCCACTGTGATGCTGACGTCCTCACCAGATTTTAATTTCCATGTACATAGTCCAGTTTTAGGTACAGTCTATGCTAATCCTCCTGGTCTTTCCCCCACCTATATATGCCTCACTTCACCTGCCAAACCCTTCAAAACTTAAAAGTGCCCCATCCAGGAAGCTAATTTGCAGAAGGTATAGCCATGCACAGATGCCAATAAACAATGCTCCAGGGTAAAATATAGCAGATGCTTAATAAACACTTGCTGGTTAAATCTGCTAAATTTTGCATAACCAACCATCAGTCCTTTCTACTCCCCCCGCCTCCCCCCGCCAACGTCTAGGGGCTATTCAATTACAAGTCCTCAGAAACCAGAGGGAAATTCTGCAGGAGAATCATCACACCAATTTTATTTAGGAAGCTGAATCAATCTCACCCCATTCACAACTCTGAATCTACGATGCATCATTTAAAACTTCACACGTACCCCAATTTCTAAGATATTAAAATGCAATTATATATGTTTTAGAGTTGATGAAACATACTGGTTTGACTTAATCTGCTAGATGCTTCTCTTCAGGAGCTCCTGGGTAGAGGAGGAGCCTCTGCTTTCTTCATGGCCTCCATCCTCCCTCACAGAGCCTACCTGACCCCTCCCAGCCCAGAGGTCCCATCCTTCTCTGAACCCCAACTTGGATCGCACCCTTTAAGTCTTCACTGAGATACACAATTGAGCCGCGTTAGTCTGATTTCCCCAATTTCTGGCCATTAGGGTTCTGCCTTAGAACCCCCCCTTTTACAGCTTTCATTGCTCTAGCATCTCATAAGCACTCAGTAGATCTCTGCTGCTTGAGTAAAAACGAAAGACACAGAAGGAGAAAGAGGAATGTCCGAGGGGGAATGCTGAGTGTGAGGGCGGCCCGGGAAACGGAAGGCCAGGAAGGGTGTAGTAGGTCTTACCTTCATCCAGCACTTTTCCATCAGGCTGCTGCTTCCTGAGTCCCGCACCTTGAGGTAGCAGTCGACGGCACGGCTATACTCTCCAGCCTGTTCCCACTGTCGAGCTTGTTCCACTAGCCCCTCCATACCCCTGATGAGATGAGAATACACATGACCAGGAACAGGACAGGCAGTGTGGCCTATCCTGTGCATACTGTGTGACCCACCCTGCCAACACTTGCTGCCTCCCGCCTTCATACCTGGCCCCCTTCTTGGTAGCTTCCCGCTCATACTCTTCCTGCAGAGCCTCCAGCTGGCCCGGCACATAATCCTTGCAGATCCGCAGGGCATCGCTCCATAATCCAGCCTCCTGCTCAGATTTCCAGGTATCAGGGAAGCAGAGGCAGGCATGACAGCTTCCCACTGCCACACAGGTGCTATGGGCCACTGATCCCTGGGTCCTTGGACCTCTCTTCTCCTTCTTGTCTCCTTCTTCCTCCCCAGTGCTAACTTCCTGGATCTCTCCTAGTAGCAGGGATCGGTGTAGTACTCTCTGGGTTCTCATACCCTCTCCCCTTCCCTCATGGCTCTGAATCCAGTGCCCCACCTTATAAAAATTGAGGGCCAGGCCCGGTCTCTGGGCCCGAAGCAGCAGCCCTTCTGCTTTCTGAAAGTCCTTCTCCTCCAAGGCCCCCCGGGCCTGCCCCACGAGCACCTCGGCGACGCTGTCTGGATCGTGGGCCTCGGCCACACGCTGTGCTGCCTCCCAATCCTGGTTATGGACAAACCTGCTCCCCAATGAGGACACAGGAGAGGCTAAGTGTAGGACTGAGGCCTCAACAGTGGGAGGCAAACAGCCATGTCACTGAGGGGAGGATAGAAGATTTATCGGTATGCAGTTCAGAGGAAGGTGAAGGGGACCATGCAAGGTCCTGGGACTGCGCCTGGGAGGTCAGGATTAAAGAATTTATGGGGTAACTCACATGAGAACTGCTTCCTTGGGTTTACCAGCCCTGATGAATTCAGCTTCAGCCTCTTCAAATTTACCCTGTAGGGACAGAAGGGCAGCTGTACATGGTGAGAAGCAGATTGCCATCATAGGCAGCCACGAGAGGGGAGGAGGTCAGGGTCAAAAGCAATGGAGAGGGATCACATCCATACCTCATCCTCCAGGTACATAGCATATCGGAGATGAATCTCAGGGGTTTTGTGCTTGAGGGCCAGCCGAGAGAGTTCAAAAGCAAATTCAAAGGAGCTGAAATGGAAGGTGCAAATAAGGTCTGCCTACTCAGTACTTCATTTTATAAGAGAAGAAGACAAACAGGGCAAGAGAAAACAGAAAGGGCAAGGATGGGGGGAGGAAAAAGGACAAATGAAGAAAGGTAATCCATATGAAGTGATAGAGAAGCACAGAGAAATGTAAAGGAAGCCGTGGATCAGGAGACACTTGGAAAAGCCTGTGTGTCCCGAGACCAGCTGATGTTAGGAGCACGGGACCGGCACGAGGCAGGGGACAGGAGTGAGCTTCACAGCACAACAGCTGCCAGGGTAGCAAGGGCTCCTCGTTCTCCCACCACCTCCTCCCGAGCCACAACTTCATTAGCAGAAAAACAGTCTCTCAAGAATGAGTAAGACGACCCTCAGCAATCTGATTTGATACAGGATTATTACTGGTCTTCCGTAACATTTGCTTAAGAAAAGCGTTTTGCATTTAATAGAATCATACTTCCATTCCTCAAGTAAATTACTGGCTTAGTGCACTTTAGCTTTAAAAGCTGTTCTCTCTGGGGCACCTGGCTGGCTCAGACAGTAGAGTGAGAGACTCTTGATCTCGGGGTTGTGAGACTGAGCCCCATGTTTAGAACAGTTAAACAAATGCTCATCTGGGCCCCCAAGAAATAGGAGCAGAGCTACTAATTCATTCTTGCCTCTCCATCAAGTTCTACCAAGGATCTCTTCGCTCTTGCCTCAGTTTTTAGAAATGCTTCTCAGTTATACAACAACTTTTCTTGTCTATACAGAGGATCTGACTGGAATGGGGCCAGTGGAGAGAAGACTTTGGGCCTCACCAGTTGTCAGCAGCGTGGTCAATAGCAGCTTCCAGGAGTCCCAGCTTATTAAGCAGTCTAACTGCAGACTCTCCTCCCAGGCTCTTTGCCCACAGATAGGCCACGTGTTTGTGGGCATTAGTGCCTCCATGAGCCTTGGCCACCTGTGAAGCAAAGCCACTTGGCAATCCTCCCATGCAGGGACACATGGCTGCTCCCTGCTCACCTCTGACCTGACTTCAGCTTTGACAAGGATCAAGTATTTCTACTAGAACAGCAGGGAGAGGCCTAAGTTTCAGGGTCTATTAACCTGCTTAGGGTCCAAGAATGAGTTTTAGGTAGTCTACAAACCCTTCATATTACATGTGAAATTTTGCCGACAGGTGTGGACATTTTTCAAAGATACCCACTACTAGTTCAGAATTAGTCACCTGAGAGTGGGAAAGAGGGGTGGCCATATCCCCAATGTGAACTGGACTCCTTACCCGGTAGGCCTCCTCCCACAGCCCATTGGAGCGGTACATGTTCACTGTTGCCTTCCACTCCTGAGCCTCGAGGTAGTGATACTCAGCCTCCTGCAGTCGGCCTTCAGCCTCCAGCTCCTGGGGAAAGGTAGGTCAGGATGGAGAGAGGGGGCCATGGAGCCTGTTTGGGGGAGATATGGGCAGAGACAAGAGAAGGGCTCACCTTGCCCAGGTGGAGGTGTGTGTCACTGAGGAGATCTGGGTGGTGCTTCCCTACCAGGCGGATCATATCATCATACAACTTGTGCTTTTTGAACATGGTGATGGCAAGATCAGGCTCTTCCACTGTCACGTAGAGCCTGGGGATGGGAGATACACCTGGGGCCTCCTAGACCCAGATTCCTGCCGCCAGAGTCATTCCTAAGAGACCCTGTCACTGCCTTCTAGGCAGAGGGCACTTATCCTCAGACACCTTCCTCCCTGCAGCCCTGAAGCCTCCTCCCACACACGCTCTGGGGCCGTAGCTCACCTTTCAGCCTCATGGTACTTGCCCTGCTTCTCCATCTCCTGAGCCTGGGTGATGTACAGCACTGACACGTCTTCTGGTCTCATGCACTTCATCGCCAGCTGTGCAGACACACAGAGCCAGAGTAGCCTCTGGTGCCAGTTTCCAAGGGAAGCAGAGGGATATGCAGAGCAGCCCGGGAAGCCGGACTCTGGGGCAACGAGTCTTTTCAGGAACTCTGAACTTTCCCAACAACCACAGGAGTTTGGTTACTGTTGCTTTCCTAGTCATTCCAGGGAACTCCAAGTCCATAAGGAGCAAAGTAAGAACTATATTCTGCTCAGGCAGAAGGGTCAGAGATGCCCTGTGCTGGGGGCATCCATCCCCATTCCCATATTCCCACTGTATCCACCGGGTTCAGGAAACAGATGCGAAACAAAGTCGTATCTGTGACCAGGGCTTGGGGAGTGGTGTTTCAGATGCCCCAGCTCCTGAGCCCGTCATGCCCGCTTCAGAATTACAGGTTTGGGAACAAGGGCTTCTTCATCCTTGCCTTTGCCTGTGGCTAGGGATCAAGGTTCTCCAGACTTCATTCTGGTACTCTTTCTCAGCTTTCAGGGAACCCAGTGAAGGAGGAGGAGATCAGAGACCAAAGAAAGTGGCAACAGACGCTGAGAGGTGGGATTCTCTGATGAACGCTACCCCTCCCTCTACCTTGTGGGCTTGCTCCCAGCGGCCAGCCTGAGTGTACATGTCGATTGCATCTTTTGTCCGGTCTCCTTTGATGTAGAGCTCCTCGGCAATCTGTGGTTGAGAGAGGTAGACACAAAAGGCCAAGAGCAACAGAGTTAAAGCAGCCTGCGAGGGAAGGAAAGAACAAGCCTCAGCTGGGATGGAGGAGAGCTGGGGATACTACTATTGTATAATAACAGAGAAGAAAAGATGACAATGGGGGTCTCACACCTTCTACTGTTTTGAAAAAAAAAAAAAAACAAGACTAGCCCAAACCAGAATGGGGAAGATGGGAGCTTAAAAGGGCTGTCGGTTAAGCATCCAACTCTTGATTTCAGCTCTGGTCATGATCTCATGGTTCGTGAGATGAGCCCCGCATCCGGCTCTGTGCTCCCAGCACGGAACCTGCTTGGAATTCTCTCTCTTCTCTTTCTGCCCCTCCCCTGCTCTCTGTCTCTCAAAATAAATGAATAAACATTAAAAAAAATAAATAAAAGGGTCTCCCATTTCTGCAATGTAAGGCAATTCTACACTGTAACTATGATGGAGTTGCCATGAAGAATCACTCATGCTAGCATTGGAAGAGAGCTGGACACTAGCTTTATATATTTGGGAGAGGAGTCTGTGTCATGATGGAATGAAGGAAGGGCAGTAAACTGCTTTCTTCCCACTCAGGTGGCTGATGCGGCTGGGACCCAGGAAGAAGGACATGGTGAGGTAGCCCCCACTTCCTGTTATGGGTTCTCTCTGTTAATCCTGTACTGCGTTGCCTCAGGCTGAAGGAAGGGACTCTTCCTCACCTCATACTCCTGCAGAGATGCATAGTGCTGGGCCACACGGGGATAGTATTTGGACGCAGTGTTCTGGTCCTGTAGATCTAATATATAAATTGCCTTCTTCCACTGGCGGGCACCCAGGGCAGCCTCAATTGCTTTAATGGAGCACCTGGCATAGTTGGGAAAGGCACACGTATGTATGAGAAAAGAGGAAGACAGATGGAGGTAGGGAGACACCTCAAGCATACTCCAACCTACACTTTGTGATCTCTCTTCTTCTAGGCCCGGGTGCCCTTACTTGCCCCATCACCTTGCACCCCTTTACCTGGCTTCAATGTAGTGATTAATGGCTGCATCAAGCTGCTTCTGCTGCACCAAGTGATCCCCCCATGCCTCTTCCAGTCGCACCACTTCCACTGGGAATGCCAATCGAGCCAGCTCCACCGCTGCCAGAGACAGTGTGCTCGGTTAAGACTTCTGGGGATGGGACTCAGGAAAAGAAAGACAGGAAAATGGGGTGTGGAAAACAGGTGAAGTGGAGGAATGGAGAACTGAGCCGGTCAACCTGAACAGATGCACAAAATAGGTGCCAGGGGACTGTCTGAGCAAGTAACACTGAAGACTGGATTGGTGGTGGTAGTACCTTTCATGAATGCATTGCCTTTACAGTAGCACTCCAGGGCCCGCTGTGGATTTCGAATCTTCTCAAAGAGATCACCTGCCTAGTAACACATACCACATTACTACAATGATAGCCCTACCACCCAAAGAATCAAGTATCAGCCCCGAAAGGAGGAGAATCTGCAACCAGTCACAGAGGGCTATGTACTCCAGGACTCCTTGGGTAGGAGGGGGCACTGGGCCCTGGAGATAAGGGACAGGAATGGGAAGCCAGCCATACCCTTTCATACAGTTCCCCCTTGATAAGGGCTGCAGTGATATGTTCTACCAGCTCCGTGTTGGCTAACAGTTCCTCCCGGGTCAGCACCAGTCGAGCAGCTTTGGCAGGGAGCCCAGCTTTGAGGTAGAGGCTGATGGCTGCTAGTCCATCCCCTTGGCTCTCCTGTAGTTCACCTGCTCGCTCCTCTTGCTGAGTGTCCATCAGCCACTGGTAGTAACCCCGGCGCAGCTTCTCCAGGGCTGGGTGCCCCTGGACATGCAACAGAGAGGCAAGAGGAGTCACATCCCTCCTTCCTGCCCTGCTGCTTCCCATGCTTCTACAATCCCACTGTGACAACGGAAATCCTCCTGGTCACCAATGTCCTAACTTCCAGCCCCAACCTTGTTCCAGTTGCTATAGCCTCCTTGACGAGAGGTTTCTGATATTGGTGGAAGTGAGTTGTGGGCACTGTGGAGAAGACACAGTTGGTAGTACCTTGGCCTGAGCCACTGCGATACACTCATCCCAACGATGTAGCTCCTGGTACATGTCCATGGCCTCCTCAACGGCATTCTAGGGGAACCCGGGCAGAGCAAAGAGGGGCACCAGGAAGACATGAGGATCAGAAATCACAGGCTCTCCTTAGCCTCGCTAAGATGCCAGCCCATGTGGATTAAAAGCCTCATCCTCTACTTATGCACAAGCGGAGGTGGGTTTATTATGAAATTAAGAGACGCTTAACGCCTCAGGGCACCTTAGTTGCAGAGCCCCCATTCCCAGGTATTTTTTCTTAAAGAGGGTTTCTCAAATTGTGTAAGCTTCAGGCCCCACAAACCTGGATCTACCTCTGTGCGCTAGAATTGCCAGGACAGGCTCTGGAGTATAGGGGGAGATGGCAGACAGTCGATGAAAGAAAAACGTAACTGTAAGGACTAACGCAGAGGGGTAAGTAAGCATTTAACCGTACAAACCTGTCTAAGTGCTCTCCCCCAGTGCTCTTCCCTCAGTTTGTTTTGCTTCCCCCCCGACCCTGGTCCCCTCTTCAATCTGGTCCCCCTTCTCCCCATCACCTGTTCCAAGAAGATCATTTCAGCCAGCTTGTAGTTCTTTTCCAGCATGGCTAGGCGTGCTCGGACCTGGTAGAAGTCTGTTCCTTCTCCACCCTATGGGGAGGAAGAAGGTTCTGGTTATTCTGCTGCTGCAGAAGCCATTCTGTCTGCGTGAGCCTAGACAGGAAGGCTAGAGAGATGAGGAAGCTGAAAGATTTAGAAGCTGAAAAACTTCATGGGGCTTAGTGGAAGAGGTCTGGCAAGCAATTCCAGAGTGGTCCGACTCGAGGGTGGAGGTGGCATGGCCGGCCAGAACAGAGGAAAAGAGCCATGGCTGGAAAGCTAGGGATCAGGGTGCTGAGCATGAAGAGAAATCTCAGCTTGAGAGACTGAATGATTCAGGAGGATAATACTTGCATATTCCCGAGACACTTGATCTGCAATCTCATTGGTCTTGTGCAGGAATCGAGCTTTTGCTACATGGCCCAAAGCAGAAAAGCACCTGTAGTATGGAAGCAATAATGGTAATAAGCAGTATTAGTACAGAATCATCATGAATTCACTGGCTCAGCAGATATATACTGAACATTGATTATGTGCCAGACACTATTTTTGCCACTTGAGACACAAGAGGGTAAGATAGATGAGGGCCTTACTCTCAGGGAATTTAGTTTCTAGTGGAAACAAATAATTAGCAAACAAACAAAGGTATTTCAAAGAATGAAAAGGAAAATAAAGTAGTGTGATATCACATATAGACAGTTAAGCTGGTAGTCGGAGAAGGCCTGGGGAGCCGACATTTGAGCTGAGACCTACTATAAGAAAAAGTCAGTCACGGTGAGATGGGGAAAAACTATTCCAGGCAGAGGGAACAGTGAGTGTAAAGGTGCGATGGCCGGAGTGAGTTTGGTGTGCTCAACGGGCGGCTGGAGACTAATGAGCAAATAGGTACCTGGTATAAGAAGGAAGCAGAAGCCATATACTGTTGGGCCTTAGGACACGGCAAAGAGTATGGGTCTTATACTAAGTACAACTGGAAGGTTCTGAGCAAAAAAAAAAAAAAAAAAGACATAATCTAATTTGTGGTTTAAAAAGTCACCTGAGCTCTCATGGGATGATGAACGGATGGTAGGGGTGTAAGAACAGTATCAGTGACACTAATTAAGAGGCGTCTGTGACACTGCAGGTAGGAGAGGTATGGTCTGTTCTAGGGTGGAGACAGTAGAGCTGGACAGTGAGAGATCCAGGGTATGTTCTGAAGATGCTGGGTCAGAGCCCCTGGGACTAGCTGGCAGCCTAGCTGGGAAAGAAGGGATACAGGACTCCCACACAAAATGGCAGCAACAGACATTTACTGTGCACTTTGCACAGATTCTCTTACTTTCTTCACTGCCACCATGGTTTTCTTTACCACTCAATGAGGTAAATTCTATTATTACTCCCATTTTACATACAGGAAATTGAGAAACCAAGGCTTGGAAAGGATAACTGAACTGCAGGTTATACAAGCTGGTAAATGGAGACAAGACAACTCGAAGTCTGGAGACCCAAGTCTGTCCTACTAACTACACTCCTAATCCATGTTTGTAAATACACAGTGATGCATGGATTGGAGGATATGGGTGTTAAAACTCTGAAAGGGCACCTAGTTACAAGAAGGGGGAGCAAAAGCAGTAAAAGACATACTCTTAGAACCCAGGACAGAAGAATGTTTGGAGTAACTACATGCAAGGGTTCTAGGATGACACTGTTGGCACGGGATGGAAGTGGTGTCTTGGCGCTTGGAGGAGCGGCCCACAGGCAAAATGCCCACTGGCCATCCTTCCTAGTTGCCCAGCACCTCAGTTCTGGTCTACCTCACCTCTCAGCAATGTGGAGCTGCCTTGCCTCTAGTGCCAGTTTGCTCAAGGTTTTCCACATTGCCTCTGTTTCTGGGGTCATTTCCAGAGTCTCCAAGAAGGCTGTTGCCCTGAAGAGAGAAGGAAGCAAAGCAACAGTCCAGGGTCAGCAAGACACAGAAGAAGGCTGGTGAGGGGGCAGAGGGAAAGGGGTAGGGAGGGTCAGGCAATTGTTTGCCCTTTTTGTCTAATCTCCTCCCACCAGGTTCTTTTTAGATGTGGCCGGTTTTACCACCCATTCCAAGTCCTCCTGCCTCAGAACCAGATTCTCCCACCACCTGGCAGGTTATTAGCCCAGACCCTCACCGGGTGTAGTTGCCGTCATCAATGGCTGTTCCAAACTCGATAAGGCCCTCATCCAGTGTGTAGGCGACTGTAGTCACACC